GCCAGTAACGGATGTGAATACCTCTTCCGCCCCTGAAAACATGGCGAGTGGCCGTGCCCACGAAGTTTCCTTTATCCCTAAACAATGTTCTCATCTCAACACTGATCCTTCTCCTTGTCTCAAACCAGGTCTGCCTCCTTACACCCCAGTTTGAATGGTGCCCTGCACCCAAACTGGATCCACGAGGACAGAAATCCTCCCATACAGCTGCTTAGAGGAGAAAGCCTTGCAGATTATGCAAAGCTTTATCCAATTCCCTCGTCATCCATTCTAGGACACTTTGGTGGGGCCGAAATGGAGTGGCAGCAAATTCCAGTACAAAAAGAAGTATGGCACGAGCGAGCCCAGTATGAGCGTGTGACCTCGGTGAGCAGGCTCACGTCTGTGCAAGCTGCTAAATCCACTCATACCTCAACCCCGGATAAGAGATAAACTGTTGGAACAGAATCGTTAGAAAGTAGGAGCTCATTCCTCATCCGACCAGAATAATTCAATAATTATGGTGTTATTGTTTGAGGCCAAAGTCATCAACACATTTTTAACGGTGATCTTTTTAAAGCCCAATAGCCAGTGGCGAGGACAGGTTGTATTTCCTAAAGGCCCACATTCATAACTATTACAAAGAGATTCACTTTACACTATTCAGAGTCCTCTCAACCTTTTATAATTCATATATATTATTAATCAAAGAGATTGACAAAGAAACTAATGGTTTGTCTGATTTTCACTGGGGCACAATCCAGCCAGCAATTGATTGTGGCACCAGGGACACCTGCAGCTTCAGAATACATTTTCACTTTCAGGAGGAGAGAAAAAAACAGCACCACGAGGAAATATTGCCCCACCACATGAATATGCAGGGACTTGATACCAGCAGTGTCATTACTAATGTTGCTGCCAATTACAGAGCATGTCATGACACTGTGATTCATGAATATTCATCGTTGACTGATATAGACAGCAGCAGTATGCAGAGGCCTCTTTTCCCATTTTACTGTCTCATTGTGAATGGTGAACAGGTACCTCCATCATACCATGGAGGCACCTTCCAGCTGCAAGACAAGCTGTTCCATAAGGCATTGCTAGTTAACAGTGTGTTATATAAAGGTGTATAAAAGTGATGAAGTGCTCCCTGGCTCTAAAGAGCAGGCATTAAAGCATATTAAGTAGACATTTAAGCTTGTAGAGTGGGAATCCAGAAATGGAAAGAAGACACTGAGCAAAGGGATGCCTTCAGGCTCGGGCTGTTCAATTCTCAGAAAGTTTGATACCTGCTAGTGCTTAGAAATGAAATGAGGTTTGTGCGACGGACCAGCAGAATTTCCAAACCTACCGGGCTTCAATTTAAGTGTGTGTAAGTAAGTGGAACAATTCCCTTCCCATTTGTATCCAGTATCAGGACTAACTAACATTTAATGGATCAATCCCTGATTGTTAAATTTAAAAGAAGTGGACGGCTAATTATTAAAAAAAACAAAAACTAATATATTTCATGCTCTTCCTCATGACCTCATGTTAAGTAATACTTAAATACCATTTTGAGGAAGGGGTGCTTGGCAGAATATTTCCCTTTTACAACTGTATTCATCTAATCCTCCACACTTAATCTACAAGTTACTTAACAGGTAACATGGTTTGCAAATCCTGTAATGGGATGCAATACAGCACTACACTACACTAAAGAGCGTGTCTTATTGCAGGACTACGACCAGCAACATTCGAATGCTTCTGCTTTGCACGGAGGAACTCATTATGCAAAGCAGCCGCCTTGCAATTAACTCCAATGTAAACACACCTGCATCATTATTACACAATCAGAGCAACTGAGGAAGTAGGAGTTCGTCCACACGCGGTTGGCGGGGGGGTGGAGTGCCAAACCAAATACAATCTTTTTTTTCCCGTCCAGGAGACTGGTGTTTGTGTCGTGTGAAACTAACTATGTTGTCGTGTCGGTTTTTTGGACGTGAGGGTCGTTACTCACAGGAGTCGCGAGTCACGTCACTCGTCTGTCGCTTCCTCGTCCCGTGAGTTGCTAGTTAATTAGGAAGTTCATTTTGAAAAGACGCTGTCTATGCTTGTTGTGTCCACCCGCCCTTCCTCTTGGGGCCGGAACAGTCGGTCACATTGTTGAGCGTCGGCTTAGGAGCCACACCTGAGCCTGGCGAAGTTCCAGCTGAAGTCTCTCTACCTGAACGCGGAGGCCCCTTTTCTTTGTTCCTTTATCACTTTTCTGGTTTAGTGTTGCAGCTTTTGTTGTAACGATGTAACAAGCTTTTATTACATGTGCCGAAGTGATGCTTGAGGGGTAAATAGCGTCATAGTTTAAAGTTTAGGAGCTTCCCAAAGGGGGGTTCAGGTGTCCCATTATATTCCATCGTAATGCTCTGGATCTGTAATTTAGCACATTTAAGTCAGAGGAGCAATACAACCGTGCATAGGTATTCTATTTAGTAAGCTATAAGTAAGCACCTCAAATGTACAAGTAGTCATCATGTGGCTGAATAGTGCATGTAAGGATGGTGTTATTATTTACAGTCACAGAAGCATATATTTGAAGATTGTGAGATGAGGTCAAATTTGGCAAATGTGTTTATTCTAATTGGCTGTTGAATCCATAACAAATCATAGTTTTTAAATGATTGTCATTTTGATTCACAGGAAAATGTGTAGTGTATTTGAATGCTTACTAACTGGTAATGAACACACCCACTCGTCCTCCACAATAACTCATCACAATAGTAGTGAGTCTATATTATAATTATTTAAGCTAGAATTCAATGGTAGCAAACTGTAACTAAATGAAGCTGTGGCACTACTGCAAAGGCTGCCACTCTTACTGAGGCGTCTGTGTCAGTGTGGTAGTATCTCTAGAGTTCATATAATCGACAGATTTTTATTGGATCGTTCCACTGGTTGGCGAAAAAACACAAGTGATGCTGATGGTGGAACTTTGCAGCTCTCCCAGTGGGGCGATCTGTAACTCTGATCCATATTCATCCTGCGACATTGCCATGACGACAGCGTCCATGTGTTTTACTAATAAAGTGCATTTTTAGACATTTTCGGATTGTTCCAGAAGGACTCAATCTTAACAGAGTGCTGTCAACCTGCAAGCCAATGGAAACAATCTGTCCATCTCTCTCGCACACACGCTACCGCACACAGTCGCACGCCCACACACTAAAATTGGTAATGTCAGTCGACATTTCCTCAAACAAAGTTGAAAATATAATCTCAGGAAATGACTTCTGTGTGATTAAAACTAACTACTCACTTTCAAGGGGCTGTCAATTAATTGCGCATATAAATGGGAAGTTAATTATTCTTCAGTAAAATGGCCAATTAAACGGCTAATTGTGTTTTCATTCCAAATTGTAAATGGTGAATGAATGACAGAAACACGGTGTGGTCGTGCCAAGTCCTGCAGTGTTTTCACACAAACTAGTTTAAATTGGTTCTATACTGTTCATAGATACCGTGTGGTCAGTAGTTTCCAGTAAGCAAAGTCTGCTGTAAAAAGAACAAGTGCAGAGGGGTCTAATTAGCCCCATCAAGGGCAAAAAAAAAATGTTACTACATTGTTTATCTCCTGAATATTCATGGGCAGTGTGCAGAATTTGTGATGTACAAATCCCGCCGCCGAGCCCACCTGAAAATGACTGGGCGTGAATTGCCTTAATGGGGTTAGGTTAATTACAAGGTTAATTGTTAGAAACAGGAGCTGGTTGATGTATTGCTGGTGAACAATAGTGTCCTCTAGAGGTGAGTGTAACCATGATATACAGTTTCTATTTACACCCAGCTTGCACACTCTGTCCTTGTGTGCACCGAGTTCAGGACACATATAAAAAACAGCTCTGAGACCGATGGTTGTACTGCGACTCCTTTAATAAAACGCCAATCCACTACGACTAAGACACGACGCAGCTTGCAATGTGATGCCGGCCGTTCTGACGTGCATGTGGTCGTGCAGGCTGTGCGTCTCCATAAGTCTTATTGCACCCTTTATGCACGCTCCCTCCTCACCGTGGGCTTGCTGCCCTTGCAAATATGAATGTTTAAAAAATCCATTGGCTACAAGGTGTTGGTGTAAGATTACACAGAGATCAGTCGTTCCATCGCTGCTGAACAATAAAGCCACAAGATTATTTTGGCGACTGCGTCAACTTGAGCGTTTTCTGCGTCACTCTCCATTCTGCGAGCTCCTATCACGTTTCCCTCTCTGGGGAGCGAAGTGGTTCCCTCATGACAACTGGCTTCAGGCCTGCTAATTAACCCCCCACACCCCACACCCTTTCCTTCTCCAGCAGCTCAATACTACCTCTTTGAATAGGCAGCCCACCCTGCAGACCCCGCCCATCTGAGGTCTAAATTTGGAACACAATTGAAATGCAGAAATCCTGCCAGAAGATAACAAAGAATAACATTGACCCCTGCTTCATTAGGCCTATTTCATAGCCACATTGTGACATAACTGTACACAATACCAACTACCAGACATCAAATAAGCTCAACACTCTGTAGACATGATTCTGCACGTGAGTGTGTGTTTTTTAGGATTAAAGTTAGCCTTTATTGTATTGCGTGTTGGCTTTACTGAACTTTCTCTGTTTACGAGAAATGCCTGTGTTTTGATGTTAAGAAATGTATACATAAAATATATACAGAATATATAAATACAGAAGCTGGTCTCTTTCCCTTTGCCGAATTAAATCACAGCACAAAAGAACATATAATGTAAGTACTGTGAGAAAAAACAAGTATCTGAACTTGAGCCCACAAGAGTTTACCCTTCCACTGCATCTCTGCTGATGTCCATGTGGGAAGCAACATAGGACACATACCACAAGACAAACACGTTCGCCCGGAAGAATCGGGGCTTGGAGTAGGTTCCCCCCGCGGATTGGTCCAAGGCGGCGTCGACGCCGATGACGTCACGCTGTGAAACACGTGGGCCACGGCATCCAGAGCTCACATAAACAAAGCCACATTGGCCAAACTGGGTAGTCGAAGCTCGTGTCGCTGTCAGTGCGCAGGAGTCCCCCGGTTGTGTCTGCCTGGCTTTTGTTGGGTGCCGCCGCTCATGATTTGGAGCTTTTACAGAAATTGATGAATATCCCCTGCATGCTTATCGCATGGATTGAAAGTCACGATCCTGATGTGAAAAAGGTAAGATTCACTCGTGTATTTGCAGTACAATATGCGTCTACGCGCTTTACTGTCATTACTGCCTTCTCTGAACCTTTTTGAATTTTGTTTCCTTTTTAGTCTGTTTTTTTTAATTTTTTTAATTTTTTTAAATAAAGTCGCAAAGCGTTCAGAGCCGGGGCGGGCTGCGCACATCTGTGCTGCTCATATTTCACGAGCGCTTTCTCTGGTTTCTGGACAAGTTCTCGTCAACGGCGAGCGCGCGCGAAGTTGTTCTGTTTGTGCCTCGCGAGCGCACACCTTTTAACGAGGGAACAGAAAGTCAATGGATGCTGTTTGGTTTCTATGTGCACGTGTTTTGTCGTGTGTCCGTTCCATTGAAAACGCCGTGCGTCATTAGGAATAGGCTGCTGTTCGGGCGCACCTGTCCTCTGTCTGTATCTGGGATCTCGTGGTTATTCTTAGATATTTGTTTCATCGCATAATCAATGTCAAAGTGCTGTGTGTTATCAGGGGAAGATCCAGAACAGAGCCGCTTTCTTGAATCCCGAGAACCCGACGACTCCCGATAACACCCATTTCAAGTATCACCGAAAAACTGTCAGAAGACTTGAGGTAGGACATGGAAAATTATTTACAAATAAAAAAAACAGATATACACTGTTTAATCGTATTTTATTAGTAACGCACTCATGCAATCTTATGTATTTTAATCCTGTTTTTTTTTAGTAAAAGTAGACACGTAAAATAAAACCTCCCTTTCACGGTTTGAACATTTATTTCCGATCAATTCTGATGTGTTTTGTACCGGTTTGATTTGCAGCCATGCCCTGCGTTCAGGCTCAGTATGGATCATCACCCCAAGGAGCTAGTCCTGCTTCCCAGAGCTACAGCTACCACACCGCCGGAGAATACAGCTGCGACTTCTTAACACCCGAGTTTGTTAAGTTTAGCATGGACTTGACCAACACTGAGATCACAGCCACCACTTCGCTCCCGAGTTTCAGCACATTCATGGACAACTACAACACCAGCTACGACGTCAAACCGCCGTGTCTGTATCAGATGCCCCACTCCGAGCAGTCCTCCATCAAGGTGGAGGACGTCCAGATGCACAACTACCATCAGCAGAGCCACCTGCCGCCTCAGTCGGAGGACATGATGGCGCACTCGGGGCCTATGTACTTCAAACCCTCCTCGCCCCACGCCCCGAGCACACCCAACTTCCAGGTCCAGCCCAATCACATGTGGGAGGACCCGGGCTCCCTGCACAGTTTCCACCAGAACTACGTGGCGGCCACGTCCCACATGATGGAGCAGCGCAAGAACCCGGTGTCGAGGCTCTCGCTCTTCTCCTTCAAGCAGTCCCCGCCCGGCACCCCCGTGTCCAGCTGTCAGATGCGCTTCGACGGGCCGCTGCACGTCTCCATGAACCACGACAACCCGGGCGTGCACCGCGGCCTTGACGGCCAGGGCTTCGGGGTGCCCGGCGCCATCCGGAAGCAGGCCGGCTTGGCCTTTCCTCACTCCCTGCAGCTCGGCCACGGGCACCAGCTGGTGGACAGCCAAGTGCCGTCGCCCCCGTCCCGAGGATCTCCGTCAAACGAGGGTCTGTGTGCGGTGTGTGGGGACAACGCAGCCTGCCAGCATTATGGAGTGAGAACCTGCGAGGGCTGCAAAGGATTTTTCAAGGTGGGCTGAAAGCGACGACAGCAGCGGCCGTGAATCAGTGATGCTGTTATTACATGAAAGATGCGCTTTGTGTCCCTAATTGTTCACGGCGTCCGTGATCTTGTAACCCGCCCAATTCCATTATAATAGTCCTGTTAGAATACTAATAACACAAGGTGAACACCGAGTACATTTACAACGTGAGCCCCGTTTGAATGCTACAGATTATCAAATTGCCTGCAAAATAACTTTATATAGCAAACATATCTGCCCATACAAAGTTGGTCTCAAAGGAATCGGTAAAATATGAAAGACCACGCATGTGTATTTGCTGACGGGTCTATTCCCCCTGCGCAGACCCAAACAGGAGATGAGGCAGATATTATATCGTTTTCATCTTTTCAAATGTTTTTTTTATTTTTTATATGTTGTATCACTTGTGCAGCAAAGCACAGTCCGTGTTCTGCACGTTCTATGGGGCTTGGAAATAAACCCGCAGAGTGACATTATGCTTTTCTTGCTTTCCAGCGCACCGTTCAGAAAAATGCAAAATACGTTTGTTTAGCAAATAAAAACTGTCCTGTTGACAAACGCCGAAGAAATCGTTGCCAGTTTTGCCGTTTCCAGAAGTGCATGGTCGTCGGAATGGTGAGAGAAGGTATGTTTAGACCATTAATTACACTTCATACCGCTAATGCATATTTCAAATGACACAATGGGGAGACACGTGCGTAATATGGTGTTGAATTGTTATTTAGGAGGGCGTATTAGTGACTCGTATGTTTTTCTTCCATTGGAGTTGTCCGAACTGATAACCTGAAAGGTCGGAGAGGACGCCTACCATCCAAACCCAAAAGTCCACAGGACCCCTCCCCACCCTCGCCGCCGGTGAGCCTCATAAGCGCACTTGTTAGGACCCATGTGGACTCCAACCCCTCCATGTCAGCTTTGGACTATTCCAGAGTAAGTAAACTACCACGATCTATAAGAAAAAGAAAAAAAAACGCTCAGCTATTTAAAAGGAAAACAAGTTGCAAACTAACTGCTCCGCGCGAAATGAGAAAGAACAACAAGATCGACGGTCGTTTTTATTTAATCCTGCTTTTAGGTAACAATTGAAAGTTTTTAGTGATGCATTGCCGAATGCTTAACTTTGTCAGGCTTTTAATCCGACATATTTTTTCCTTAGTCAATTGCGTTGAAAAAGTGAAGTTAATAAAAAAGACATGAATTTAATCGTGACCCTCTCCCTCTTAGAAATGGGCATTTGCAATTTCACGGATTATATATTTTAAAGGACCTCATTAAGGCGCTTTTTAAATTAAATTCCAGTTCCAGGCAAACCCTGACTACCAAATGACTGGAGACACCACTCAGCACATCCAGCAGTTCTATGATCTCCTGACGGGCTCCATGGAGATCATCCGGGGCTGGGCGGAGAAGATCCCCGGCTTTTCTGATCTACCGAAGCAAGATCAAGATCTCCTCTTTGAATCCGCCTTCCTTGAACTTTTTGTCCTGAGGCTGGCGTACAGGTAAGCCGCGTAATTATTAAACAAAACAATCTGGGCGTTAGATGATCATCAATTCCTCCTTCAAGCTCCATTGCTTTTGGGGTTTATTAGCTGTATAAATAATAAGAAAGCTGTTAAATCCCCATTTATTGGCAATCGTCATTAACGGCTCTTTTCTCTCTCTTTTTTTATTGTGCAGGTCCAACCCAGTAGAAGGCAAACTTATTTTCTGCAACGGAGTGGTGTTGCACAGGTTACAGTGCGTCCGCGGATTCGGAGAGTGGGTCGACGCCATCGTGGACTTTTCTTCCAACTTGCAGAGCATGAACGTCGACATCTCAGCTTTCTCCTGCATCGCAGCGCTCGCCATGGTAACAGGTGCGTAAGTGCGAGGACACCTTTACAAACACCCACGCGCGCTACGACGCGGGCAAATCAGAGAAAAAGTGAATGCGTCGGAAATAATTCATCTTTGTCCTTTTTTTGGCTTTCGCATTTCAGAGCGACACGGACTTAAGGAACCCAAGCGAGTGGAGGATCTGCAAAACAAGATAGTCAACTGTCTCAAAGATCAAGTGACGTTCAATGGCGGTGGATTGAATCGTCCCAACTACTTGTCAAAACTCTTGGGGAAGCTCCCCGAACTGCGCACCCTCTGTACCCAAGGTCTGCAGCGTATCTTTTACCTTAAGCTCGAAGATCTAGTCCCTCCGCCGGCAATAATTGACAAACTTTTCCTCGACACATTACCTTTCTGAGTCTGACTCGATGGCAAGAACTCAAAGAACTTCCAAAAGACTGTTTAAGAGTCAGACGTCTCACACTTTTTTTTTTTTTAACGTTATCATTTCTGAATAATTGCCAGCTCCGTAGGCTAATTGAACAAACAGTACGCATTATGAGAATGGATTCATGAGAGAGAAAAAAAAATAACAGAAGGAAGAGAAGGACAGTTTGATTGCTGCGTAGGCCTTTTTCCTTTTGGTTGCCTAACGAGTGAAACGGAATTTCACTCCGGTGGACAAACTGTCCGGCTTAACAATCACTTAATATTTATTTAACATCGGCTCTACTGATCAGCATCAGATGTAGTTATACTCCATTTATATATATGACCACACCGCGTGCGCACACACATATACACCCGAACTGTATATTATGGTAGATTATGTGATGCCTCCAGTGCATCGGTTTATAACACGTGTACAAAGTTTGTTATAATGAAAAGATTTAATTTTCTTTTCTTTTCTGACTCGTGCCTATGTGTTTCTGAAAGGATCCCAAAAAGTATCCAGAAAAGACAACGCATGTTCTAGTTTTATTTTCCTTTTCTTTTATAGGCACTTGCTGAGGTGATGTCTATATATAATATATACCGGACACTATGTAGTCTGCTAGATTTGATACAGATTCGTAGTTATGGCACTCCTTTTATGTATGACGCATATGTGGAAAAATATCTCATCTGTATAGAAAATGAGGGACCCATGGTGTTTGTAAAACTGTCAGACATTCCTTGTTTGTATGTGCTGTAAGTATTGTTGCTGTTGAATATAAACGTTTCTATATATTTATTATTTCTATTGCCAAGAGCTACACTAAGCATGGTGCAATTTAAACGATTTCAAACCACCCAAGTTCATGCTGAGCACGTTGTCTATGTTTTATGTCTTATAAACGTCTAGGTAGTTATAATTTAACACTTTTTGGAAGTGGAAAACTCCCATATCAAAAGGGTCATGTGTGATATAGGCCAAGATATTTGACATCATGATGTACTTACAACTTCTGTAACGCATTTGGTGCCGGATTTTTAAAAAAAAGCCTTTAGAGAGAAATAAATATTTAATGTTTACAAATAAAACTTTAAAATCAATTCTTTGCTAAATAATTTCTATAATTAATTTTTTTAATCAAGACATGTCTGGGCGGATGGAGCTGCTTTAACAGGGAATTGACGGGTACAAATTTATTTCAATTTCCTTAAGTATTTTGATCGGCCCCTACATAATAAATTAAACATTTGTAATAACTTTTTAATTTCAATATCTCACCTTGACTAACTGGGACGTTTTGTGCACCTGGATGGTTGAAAAAGAAAGTTAGTGGATGTAAAGACTAAGGATATTTCACAAATAATATGTAGGCCTACATTCATTTTAAATGATCTGCTCGGAAAGAAAATATATATTTTACACCATTCTTAGCGTTTTATTTAAGACTTATCTGAGAGAACATTTCACTCATCAAAAATACACAGATTTGAAGAAAAAACCTCAAGGTTTTCTTGATATTTCTTTTTCTTAAATTGCAAAACAATAACGATTTTTATTACGTCCTTTCATTCTGTAATGTGGGTGTATTTGACAGTGGAGAATCTCCAACGGATTAAATATCAGTCTTCATCATTTCCTTATTTAGGGATTAAACGCCAACGGTCGAGTGAACAATTTAAAAGAAACATCGGGTTTCATGTTTCATTCTGTTGCTGTATGGATGCTTTTTGCTGCTGCCAAAGTTGATAGAAATAAAAGTCTGTCGTTGTCTTTCTAAACAGACCTACCTTGTTTGGCTACAGTCAAAGGATTAATATTAATATTAATATTATTTCCATTTGTCTACGATATACTAGTTGCGCTTCATTCGCTTTCACTTTTATCACTTAAACTTAGTGTGGACCTGTTTTATTCTGACGTGTCATCCAGCTCCGTGCAAGTTGCAGCAACAAAAGAAGAATAAAGCGCAGCTGAAGAGAACACGCTCGTGGTAAAATGAAATCCTATTGCGCGCAGAAAAGCTCCCTCGTCTCGTGCGTTACATTTGGAAATGAAAAAATGAAGAAAAAAAAATGGATTATGAGCGAACAAGAAAGATGGGATGAGGCCACAGGCTGGAGACATCCTCTTTACGGTTAAAAGTTTTTTTTCTTGTTGTTTGTTTGTCCCCTCCCCCCCCCCGCCCCGGGGTGACTCCGGTTCCGATCCAAAGTCAGCTCAAAAGAAGAAAAAATCCCACTCCTTTAATCGCATTCAATGATCGCCCTCACACAACCGCACACGTGAAGCCACTTTTGAGCCGCTGCCGCTGCTGATGCTGCTGCTGCTGCGCATCACATCTGCAGAGAAGAAAGTCATTAAGCATGTTTGTGTAAGGCCGGTGATTGGGCGCCGTCACAAAGCCTTTCCTTTAGTCTGAGAAGAGATGGTGCCGCCGGGCTCTGAGGCATGTCCGGGGCTTATCCTCACTGATTCCACATTTATCACATGATCAAGATGAAGGGAACAGCTTATTTTGTGAGATATATTAGCAGCGGGCAATAAATTGTCTAAATAATTAGATCGTCAGCGTAAAGTGCTAATTCCAAGTCAAACTGGGATCACATTCAGAACCAGTTTGCTGACATTTAGCAGATCTGTTGAAAGGGTGCATTACAGTGTCACAAGTCCTCTCTATTGACTCAAAGTACAGTTGGGTTTTAAACATGTCTTTATCAACACAATAAAACGTGACACAAGTAGCTAATATCTGTCAGTGTTCGTGCATGATTACATGTGCTGGAGGACTTTGAGTCTAAATTCATTAAAGGGCCTGTGACTTCATTTCAGCGGAAGGGATAGACGTGACAGAGTACAGCACGAGAAGGACTAGAGGACAGAAAAAAAAGACTCCTTCAGTCGCCGGGCTTCCGCTCTGCCACAGAAAACAACAAACCGGAGCCGGCAGGTGAAGATGGCCGTCTTCCAAAAGAAAAGAGCCTGTGTAGCAACGCGCTGAGTGCTTTGTTTGAGAAGTGAGAACAAAATTAGAAGACAGAGTCCCGGCTTCTGAGAACGCATGCTTCCCATTTACGAGCCCACTAATAGATGCCACACACACACACACACACACACACACACACACACACACACACACATACACACACACATGCACGGTGTAAACCCGGGGACGCTTTGTCTCACGCTGTGATGCAATCTGACAGGTTCACGTTCTCTGTGGATTTGAGGTGCTTGCTCTGTAAGTTTTAATATACGTCAGGAGTCGTTCCCCAATAACAAAACCAATAGGACATTTAGTTATTCTTTGCAAAAAAAAGGTTTGCATGTTGGCTTGGGCTTAGCTTCGTTCTAGAGGTATAATGTGTGAATTATCATGTTGGAAGGCCAAGATAAGCCAGATCGCTTTCCTCATCCGATCCCCTTGGTGGAAGAGCACTTGACCTTTCACCTCCGCACTACAGGAGAACTTGTTAGGCAGACATCTGATGAGGAAAACCTTCTGTTGTCCAAACAGTGACTATAAGGATGCATGAGATGGACACCACTGGTTTTCTCCATACAGCACAAGTTTTGACGCCCCGCTTCATCTATAGAATGAAGCCTCAAGTCAATGACAGCTAAGCGTTATCTTTCTTTACATTTTATGGGAACGGCATTAAAAGCTTTTTAGACGTGAGAATCTTATTAGAAAGTTTGTGAGCAAGACGTTGCCTTCTGACTAAAAACTAAACACTCTTTATCACTTGACTTTCTGTCTAATGAAAGTGATTCAAACTAATCGTACAACTTTTCAGTCTGCCCAGAGACGGTACATTACACCTGTCTCTTCACTATGCCTTGTTACTTCTGCTACTCTTTACTCCTCCTGCACATTCAGTCCGCTCTCGGTTTCCTCTATTCAGGCACGCTGCTGTTCGAGCCTGCAGTATAACATGTTGATTACACAACTTGTGAATCTCATGAGTCCTCTCCACTCTAGCTCTAAACAAAATGAATGAATAATGAGTGGAATGATGGCCCTTTGGATACGACTGCCTATAGTTATATTGCTGTGACTGTTTGATTTACCATATTGAAATGTTGATGATTGTCCAATAAATAATGCAAAAAGCTGATTTCCAAGTGGCGAGGCAGGAAAAGAAATCCACCTTGCATATAGATGGAAGTGAGCCGTGGCTTTCCCCTCTCAGCCTGTGGCCCAGAGCAGCTTTATCATTCATAGGACTAAACAGACAATCAATTCAGCAGCCATGTATGAAGGATGAAGGGATGCGACAAGCTGTGAATGATGAGGAGCCAAAAATCAAAGGCCTCACTCCTTCTTAGCTCTAATGGCCATTACCAGCCCAGACAGCACCAGTAAAATGAGGTTAATCATTTGCACAGATCCTTTCAAAGAAGATTGACTGGACTTGATGCCTAGTTAGATCACTCATAAATATTTACTTCATATTAAACAGCTGTGTATGCTCTGTTATTGAACATTGATTTCTGACGGATGCTATTAAAATGATTGTTTCAAGTGTGGTCCAGTTAAAACCACTAATGCAATGCTTGTAACAGGGCTCGATTGTGCTAACCACAATATATTAATAATGCAATGAAATTGACGGGACATTGTGCGAGAGAGGGAATCCTCCAGGTTCCTGCAAGAAACTAGAGATTTGACAAATTATCACATGATCAACGGAAACCACAAGAGTCTGTATCCCACATTTGGCGTCAATATACTACAACCACGGGTAAAAATAGCACCACAGTTGAAGTTTATGGGCATAGCAGGTATCAGCATTGAACACACAGGTTCAATCCTTTGACCTTATTGACGAAATGAAATCGGAAATTTCCTTTATAGAAAGACTGAATGTTTCCCCGGGCAGACATGTTTCCGATTCAATTAGTTTTAATGAAGCCGGTGCTCAGTGGTTACTGAAGTAGAAAAAACATGCATAAATGCCTGATGGTAATAGTGGACACATTAAAGAGGACGGCATCGGACACACAGTGCGTGGGTTCTAAGTGGCGAAAAATGCCTCTATCAGGGTGGTAGGAGCTGGTGGCTTGGGAAGCAGTGAATTATATGAGCCTCAAATGATGCATTAGGATCTCTTGGGCGAGCCCCGAGGAGATTGAGGGGCGAACTGTAAAAACACACGAGAGAATAATCTGGTGCTGATGACGCACGTGGGGGTATCACCAAGCGGATGCTAAAGTCATGCCCTCCCCATTTACACAACAGCACCACAGCAGTCTCAACGAGAAATCAACTTTTACTCCCAATGGTGTTATTTCTTCATCTCTAAAATCTTAAGAACAGCTCATTACCTGCTTTTTGTATTCACCCGTCGCTTTTTGTATTCACCCCTATTTACACCAGCCACTGTGACGATGTGACTGAATGCAGGGCTCCGAACTGTCCCCCCCCCCCCCCCCTCTCTCATCTGATGTCAGTTTGTAAAATGTCAACATGGTCAGATGCACTGGCTGAGTTCCAGCAAGAATATGCCCTCATCCAGTGTTATGGTTTGTGCCGCTGCTCCATGTGAAGTGAAACATATTAAACACACCCATGCACATGTAATCTGTTCATGTCTTTCAGTCAAATTGTGTGTGTGTGTGTGTGTGTGAGTGTGGATTTATATCATCTGCTAAGAGTTCCTTTCAGTCTTTTGCAGCCATTTTCATGTGCATTTAGTCTTATTGAATTGGAAGAATCCAGTTAAAAGCTGTGTGCCATGGCAGCATGGGGGGGTCTCAGTTGTGATGTCCTCGGTTTGATTCCAGCAAGGGAACCTTTTTGCATGTCATTCATCAAATTCTCTCCTGCCTGATTTTCTGGGTGCCTCTGTTCCAAAATAGGCTTAGGATTAATTGAATTAAAAGAGCTCTTTTCATTTATAACAATACAGGTTAAGCGGAAGGTTTCCTTTAAACACATTTAAAGCTACACAAACAACATGGATTCGTTTAAGGTTAACCTTAAGAGTGTTGTATTTTTCTGCACCAGCAGCCACTTTGCTGCTGTTACGTTTGTCTTCCCCTTGCTGATGGGCGTGAGGTAAACAAGCCTGAAATTATGAATACCGAGAATCATCTGCAGGGGGTCTCAGGACGCGTCTCTGGTTTGCTGTTGCTGCATGCATACATTTCCCAGGGCACGCACATATACACTAGCGTGTACACAAAAAGATGTGCGTATTGTAGTGATGGTTCTATAAAGCCATGATAGCACATGTAAGTACACATCCATAGTGAGAAGGCACCAATAGATATTGGAGTGGCGGGTCTTGAGGGGTCAAGAGGGGAATATTGTGTGTGTGTGTGTGTTTGACAAAAGGGAAGAGGAGAGGGGGGGGGGTGTCACAACAGACAGAGAGATCCAGCCCGGGCTCCCACACAGCTTTGTCATATCACTAGGAGATTAGGAACACACACATGTCAAGCCAGGCAGAGCCTGCTGCAATAATGCACCTGCCAGCTCTCAAGATCCACTCAACCCCTTTTCAACCTCTTGTCCCTACATGCTAACTCAAAAGCACGCCCACACAAACACACATAAGTGCACCAAAATGTCTAAATATTGATCCCCCTTTCTTAATGCGCACGTGAAAACAGAAGGATATATGAAATCATTAAAGAACGTATTAATAATAAATGACACAAAGAACATCAATAAATCTAATGCAATGTGAGAATAAAGTGAAGCTAAATGCAGAATTGCACACATACAGTGAAAAACACAAAATATTGAGGACATGAACAGGATGGGAATGGGCAA